TTTCTGCTTGGCAAGACTTGGGGATCAGAATCTCATGTTTGCCTTTATAAGTATTGATCTCTGTTGAGGAGAAAAGCACAAAACAAACAAAATGTTTTAGAAGTTTAAAAAAATAGTATCTGGGCATTTTGAAATGCCAGTTATTGCCTTGTGTAGCATCTAGGTCCAGCATTCCCATCTTGCGTGAGTGTTTTCTGATAGTTTTGGGGGCAAATAATCACAGAATCCCAGACCGTCAGGGATTGGAAGGGACCTCCAAAGCTCATCCAGTCCAATCCCCCTGCCGGAGCAGGAACACCCACATGAGGTTACACAGGAAGGCGTCCAGGCGGGTTTTGAATGTCTGCAGAGAAGGAGACTCCACAACCTCTCTGGGCAGCCTGGGCCAGTGCTCTGTCACCCTCACTGAGAAGAAGTTTCTTCTCCATTTGAAGTGGAACCTCCTGTGTTCCAGTTTGTGCCCATTACCCCTTGTCCTATCATTGTTTGTCACCGAGAAGAGCCTGGCTCCATCCTCGTGACACTCACCCTTTCAATATTTATAACATGAATGAGGTCTCCCCTCAGTCTCCTCTTCTGCAAACTAAAGAGCCCCAGCTCCCTCAGCCGCTCCTCAGAAGGGAGATGCTCCACTCCCTTGATCATCTTTGTAGCCCTACGCTGGACTCTCTCCAGGAGTTCCTGTCCTTCTTGAACTGAGGGTCCCAGAACTGGACGCAGTATTCCAGATTTAATATTTAAATAATGTTAAAAATAGTTCTATTTTTTATCCCCATTCAGTGATAGGTACTGTGCAGAACTTAGGAAGAATGTGTTTGTGCTGAGATGTCTCAAAATGAGTAGCGCTTTTCCTGCAGGTACCATCTACCTCATGTGTGACGTTGCATCTCCCTCTGCTCTGGTGTGGCAAAAGATCTGGAAAATGTGTAAACTTAGAAACGCTGATGTGTTCTTGTGAAACAGCTGGTAACAGAGCTCTGTCAGTTGATGTGCTTGAAATCATTTTAATGCTTAATCAGTAGGAAAACCTTTCTAGTACAGTTAAACTTGGACTACTAACATCCCAACTAGTGAATCAAAAGTTAATTTTGACTTGCTACGATTCATATAGAAAATGACTTTGGTGTTATCAAAGCATCTGCCATGTGTGTCTGCCCTTGAGACATTTCAAGCGCAGATGGCGTGTGGAAGAGGTAGGTGTGTGGTTTCTCAGTTATGCCATATGACTTTATCTGAGAAAAAAAACTTCAGGTCGCTCGACTTCTGCTCAAAAGGGCTAAAGTCCTTCGTTCACCGTCCTTTTTTTCTGTCCTAAGTGTAGGCTGATTTTTGTGGCTTCGGATTAATAAGCCAATGTCTCGTTTGGTTCCTAAACGGAACAGCTACCAAATTAAAAGTTACAGATTGTTATGACTGTAGGGCTGTGTTACTCACAAATGCCCCCACCTTTCCACGTGGTGCACCAATTCTTTTCCAGTGGCTGCTGTCGTGCGTCTGTTCGGCGTTAATAACACACATATATCAGCCTGCAGGATGAACTGCTTGTTCTGCCTGGCAAAAGCTGTGTCAATAAAGCTGTGCCCAAAGAGCTATCTGTGAGTAGCCACATGTGCTGCTTGCGTCCTTTTTCATGGGTGGGAATCCATTTGTTTCACTTTCAAAGCTTAATATAAGGCAAGACAGCCCCTTTGACGTAGATGACAAGGGCAACTGAAATACATGATGCGGGTTGTTTCCTTTGGAGTTTTTGCATTTTCTGTCCACAGTGGCTGGTAAGTTCCTGTCCTGATAGAGAACCCCAGCACACTTTGATAGTATTGGAAAGTATTATTTTAAAACACTCTGTACATTTCAAGAGATTCAAACCTCTATGTAACTGTTCACTGTTTCCTGTTGTCCTGCCTCTCAATATGTTCAAAACATTAAGGAAAAGCTAAGATTCCCTGACGCTCCCTTTTGCTACCTGAGCAAAACCCATGTTTTTGTAAAGCAGAACATGTGAAGTGGTGTGAAAGCCTCTCTAAGTCAGACTATTTCTGTTTTCTGTCTCTTAAAGCTGGTGGGGATGCTTTGCAAGCTCTGGAGATGGTGTAGTTATGTGGGACTCTAAGGATGGACCAGAACTTGTTGGTAGGGTTGGGTCTGTGGTTGGAAATGGTCCCGTTAATGTCACATCCAAAGCAGTTCAGGTGAATCGCAGCATGTGTTGGGGTGGAAGGGACCTTTACAGCTGATCCAGCTCAACCCTGCAGTCTGCAGGGACATTGGGACCAGATCAGGTTGCTCACAGCCCCATCAAGCCTGGCCTTGAATATCTCCAGGGATGGGGCCTGCACCACCTCTGGGCAACCTGTGCCACTGATCGACCACCTCATGGGGAAGAGCTTTTTCCTCAAATCCAACCTAAATCTGCCCTTTTCCAGTTTAAAACCATTCCCCCTCATCCTATCACTCCATGCCCCAGTGAACAGCTCTTCCCCAGCTTTCTTATAGGCACCTTTCAGGTCCTGGAAGGTCGCTATAAGGTCCCCCTGCAGCCTTCTCTTCTCCAGGCTGAACAACCCCAACTCTCTCAGCTGTCTCCATAGCAGAGCTGCTCCAGCCCTTGGATCATCTCTGTGGCCTCCTCTGGCCCCGCTCCAGCACTTCAATGTCCTTTTTGTGCTGGGGACCAGGTCCTGTGCCTTGAGGTCTGGTGTCCTCTGTCAGCACCGTATTGTGAAGTGGGAACAGGGCTTTTGTGTCCCATGAGCAGGTAGGGCAAGTAGCTACTGAAAAACTACTTGTGTCGAGTTTGAGGCACTAAACTCTTCCTTTCCTGCCACAACCCTGTGTGTGTGTGTCCCAAAACTGCCACGTTTAAAGACATCAGAGAACTGTACAGAGCACCACGGAAATTCAGCCTTCAAACAAATACATTTTCAGCTTCGCTGTACGGTGATGTCTGTTGTTGTTTGGTTTCCCAAGCGAGTATGTACATAAGGCTGGGTAGCATTGGTGCTTTGGGTGAAGATAAACTGCTTTCACAAGTGAGCACAATGGACTGAACATCTTGCTTTGTATCTGAAGAACAGGGGTAGCAGTGTGCAAAGTGATTGTTAAAAGCTGCTGAAAAAGAAATGATAATAAAAGAAATGAAAAATGCAGAAGATCTTGCTGGCTGTGTGCAGCATCCACTCCGCTTTTGGTGCAGCTCTTCTGCTATAATAACCAATTGATTCAGCAGATCCTTTTACCGCGGGCTTATGTTCCTGTCAGCAGGTTGAGGTTTATTTAGCACATATTAATTGCGTCCAGGTTTCGTGCGTTGTTGACCTTTAAAGCTCTGCTGAATCATGGGCTGCCTCTGCCTGGCTGTCTCTGTCTTTTGTTGCGTGTAACTCCGTGCACTACGAAAAGCTTGGAGGACGTGGTACTTCAGGGGTCACATCAGGTGCTTCAAAAGGGAGGAAAGCAAACAAAGAAATGTTTGGGAAAAGGCTTTAAAAGCCTTGCTCGATTCTGCCTGACCTCTGCTTCAGGTATGCTTAATATAGAGGACATCTGAGAAGTGCTCAGAGCCTCAGGTTGAACAGTGTCATAGGTGGAGCTTTATACTTGCGGTGTTTCCCAGAAGTAATTTTCTAAAGAACAACACCAGTAGTGAGCTGTTAATTTTGGAGTAATACCCGCTCATGCTGGCTTGCTCACCCGTTGTGTTTGGAACTCCCCTTGGCCTGGTATTTAAAATATAAATAAAGGTATTTTAAGCTTCAGCAAGACTGCAGAAGCAACTGTGTCAAGCCTGAGTGTCCCCTGCTGCTCTTCTTGTTTGTGGCGTAGGAAGGGGGAACCCTTTTGATCATCTCAGTGATCAGATACCAGTAATTCTCTTGAAGCCCAATTCAGCAAGCCCGCCTCACATTAACGCCCATGTCCTGAAAACAGCACAGTTATTTGAGAGCCACCTACACAGCTCTCAGCTGCATTTGTTTCTGACGATGTGTCTTAGCTTAGCCAGAGCACCATGCCGTGTGTTGGAAGCAGTAAAACCAGAGGGTTTCAGACCTAATGCTACATATTGAAGAAGGATGAGTCTCATTCATCCGTGCGCTCCTTTAACAGCAGCTTTTTTGGGTTCCCAGCTGTGGATGCTCAAAGTACAAATTACCCAAAAAAAAGGGATGTATGTGATGAAGACCTTTCGTTTTGATGCTGCCGTCTGATTCAGACGCGCGAATCTCTGTGTCGTGTAGCAGCTCACGAGGTCAACCCGCAGTGCTTGTGTTGTAGGAGCAAGGATTAACTTCAATTAGTGGCCAGATGTTCACGAGGCATTGGTCTGGGATGGGGGAGAAGGACGTGGCACTCTTTAAAAACAATTTAGTCTTGCTTAGCCCCTGGGTGAGCAGAAATAAAACGCATTTGCACATCACTTGAGCATGACGCTTTCGTATTTCACAGTTGCAGAAATCATCTTTATAAAAGTCAGTTGTACAGCAAGGAACTATTTCCGTGTAGTTTTGGTCCAGTCAGGTCCAAGATGGGTATTGCAGGGATTTGTCTTTTTCCCCCTCTTCCCTTAAATGTTACTTAAGGGATGAGTGGATGCCTCTGAATCCACTTTTTGAAGGGCTGTCTGTCGCGTGACACTTAAAGGGGAGAAAGTCTCTGCAGGTGGGTATTAAGCAGTTATGTAGCGGCAACACGTTTTACGTGTAAAAGTAATGTAGCTTTTAATTGTGGAAAGCAGGAAATGTTTCTGAAAAGCCTTCTTTCAAAAGATCAAGTACATTTGTACCTCTGGCTTCACTCGAGTGTGTGTTTGCTTTGTTACTTCAGCTCCGTGGCTTTGGCAGTCCTGTGTGATTTTTTTTCTTCTTTTTTCCATCTGCTAGGTCTTGTCTGAAATGTGTGTGTGTGTCTTTTTCATCTGCTGCTGCTCTCCTGGGCAGCAGCGATGTTTCTCAAATGGGCTTTTTACAGGCGATTTAAAATTTGTCATTTACGCGATGTTGCAGACGAAGAGGATGCTGAGGAGGTGCCAGAATTTCAGGTGTCTGGGAAAATCGGAGCAAAGAAGCAGAGAAAACTAGAAGAGAAACAAGCCAGAAAAGCACAGAGAGAGGTAAGCGTTTCCTGCCACGTATAGAGCCCAGAGCAGAGCCTGAATAGCAGCGCTCAGCGAAGAACCGGTGATGACAGACACCCCAAAGGCAGTGTCATCGCTATAATGGCTCTAGTTTTGTTTTAAAGATAACATTCGGCTTTTTATGTCATTTCCCAAGAGGAAAATGGTATCCATTCGATTCTGTGGTGTTCTTGTGGGGAGGAGAGAGGAGTTAAAGTCTCGAATGCTTTTTATTGCGTGTTTCCACTGCCTTGCAGCTTAATGTCAGTGCTGTCTCCCCTTAAAAATACACTCGAGCCCACATAGCGGTGTTGTAACACTGGGTCTGTGACCAAAACCCTGGGCACTTCTGAGTAGTGTTTCTTGTGCAAAAGCTCTGTATGGGTTTATCTTTGTTTAGCCATGTTTATTGTTTTTAAGGATGGGGGAGAAGATGGAAAGCAGACCCTGTAATCCACCAAATCTACAATGCCATCAGATTTTGGGTTGAAGTTTGGCCCTTGAACAGAGACCAAGTATGCAGAGCGAACACGCTGTAGCTTTTCAGTTGTTCTTTCTTACATCTTCTGTGTAAAGATACTTAAATACTGTAGCATTTTTTCAGTTTTGCCCAGCATTTTGCTGTTTAATTTCAGGGCAGCAGCAGGCTTTTTGAAACTCGGTGTGCTTGTGGGCAACAGAAGGTTCTGCACTCATTACTTTCAGTTTTTCTATGGATTTTTTGGTGCAATCTTTGCGTTGTTCTGTAACTTGGGGTGTGTGGCAGCAAGAAGCAGGTGTCTTAAACAGCCCGGAGTGCACAGTGGACATCACACACTTCACAAAAACACAGATTATATTAAACTACTAATATTTGTAATGCAGAGAGGGTCCAAACAAAGCCAGGGACATCCCATTTTGAGGATTTTATTGTCACTGGAGGATTAAATCCAGTTTCTGCTTTACACTGTAGTGGCACGCCCTGTAGGTATGGTAATAAACTGGATTATTGTGTTACATATGAACTCCCATTAGGATCCTTCTCTCCCTTTATGCTTTAACCATTTTGTCATTACTTTCCATATTTATTCTATTTAATTAGCATCTTTTTGTGGAAAATCTGAGCCGAGCTGAATGAAGCTAGGCAAGCATTTGATGGAGTGAGGGATCTTTTGATTCGTTTTAAAACATGCTGATTTTCATTTTCCCATGTAGACAGATAAATTCCTCGGTTACATCTTTTCCACTGAAACAGTCAAAGCCACAGATCCTCCATTCGAATGCCTTCTGCTTGTTCTCTTCACGTATTTTCAAATTTTAAGTATACTGAAGGGCAAATTGAAACAAATCTCTAAATTAGACACTAAACATCCTTTTTTGCTTCCCATTTTGCCCCCATTTCTTTACTAGATCTGGTTTAAAAACAAATAGTAAAATGATTTAAAGAGACCAAAGCAACTTTTTCTTTAAGAGAATCTGCCCAGATTGATGATAAAATTGAATGTACTTGGTTTTACGAAGTTTATGTTCCCCTCTCCTTTTTTCCCCTCTCCTTAGAGTCCATTCTAACTAAACTTCAGTGAGGAGAAGTTGAATGCCATGACACTGTTACTTAATATAACTGTAGTAATAAGCTCATGTGCATTTACCAAGCTTAAACTCTTTTTAAGATACAGATCATGCAAGTGAGAAGGGTAATTTCTAAACTTACCACAGTGTTAAGTATGCTGAAGATCGGTGGGGGGGGGGAATTAAATGAGTGACTTTCTTTTATTCTCCTTGCTGTTTCCTTTTGAACATGTAACTGGGAAGTTAGCAGGAACCCAACCTCCCCCGTGGTATCACAATATGGGATTTTAAAAATGTATATTCGGAAAGAGTAAAGCTTGGCTTGTATGGTTTTGGTTTGTTTTTTTTAGGCTGAAGAAGCAGAGCGAGAAGAACGGAAAAAGCTTGAGTCAAAGAGAGAGGAGGAAAGGCGGAAAGAAGAGGAGAGAGCACGTCTCGAGGAAGAACGACAGGTGGGATTGGCTGTATTTAGAGATGGAAACTGTGAACCAAGTTTGTCTTTGAAATTGCTTCAATATAAGTTCTGTGATCACCAGAGTTCCCTTTGGCTTTCATGACGACTGCATACATTTTCAATCTGTTGGTTTTTCACTGCTCCGTTTTGTTTGAATTCCAGTAATACCCCATGATTTCAATGTAGATCCCAGCTTTGTTCCCTGAGATGCCTGGCGGAAGTGACACCAGTGCACACACGTAGCAGCAAGCACCCACCCATGCTTGAGTATAGGGCAAAACCCAGTCTCCTGATAGCGGATCTATAACTGCTCTGTGCCATGGGGACAGATTCCTTGGTCAGTTTGTTGTGTTGACAAACATAGCTGATAAAGTTGGCTGTTAGTTTGGCTGGGAGCTGTTTAAGTGCAGGTCTATGACTGCAGCACAACAAGTGTGGCCTTGGGGCCAGGGAGGGGATTCTGCCCCTCTGCTCTGCTCTGCTCACACCTCACCTGCAGGGCTGGGTCCAGCTCTGGAGTCCCCAGCACAAAAAGGACATTGAAGTGCTGGAGCGGGGCCAGAGGAGGCCACAGAGATGATCCAAGGGCTGGAGCAGCTCTGCTATGGAGACAGCTGAGAGAGCTGGGGTTGTTCAGCCTGGAGAAGAGAAGGCTGTGGGGGGACCTTATAGCGACCTTCCAGGACCTGAAAGGTGCCCATAAGAAATCTGGGGAAGAGCTGTTCACTGGGGCATGGAGCGATAGGATGAGGGGGAATGGTTTTAAACTGGAAAAGGGCAGATTTAGGTTGGCTATGAGGAAAAAGCTCTTCCCCGTGAGGTGGTCGATCAGTGGCACAGGTTGCCCAGAGGTGGTGCAGGCCCCATCCCTGGAGATATTCAAGGCCAGGCTTGATGGGGCTGTGAGCAACCTGATCTGGTACCAGTGTCCCTGCTGACTGCAGGGTTGGGCTGGATCAGCTTTAAAGGTCCCTTCCAACCCAACACATGCTATGGTTTTTGTATGAAGGAAGGAGTTGCACTTAGTTGCAAAGAGAAATTTTGGGGGTTGCTTGCTTGGTGTCTGACAGAAGATGTTTGATTATCACAGAATCATAGAATAATGTGAGTTGGAAGGTAGCTCTGGAAGCTCTCTGATCTGCCATGCTCAAACCCATGTCCCATTAGAGCAGGTTGCTCCAGACCTTGTCCAGCCAAGCTTTGAGTGTCCCTTAATGAAGGAGATTTCTCAACCTCCCTGGGCGCTGCTTCATTAATCTCATTAGCGCTGCCTTCCCGGCAGCTGCAACCAGCAAGGCAGAAAGTGAAAGACATCAGCAACCGATTTTGCAGCTGGTATGTAAAATTATACGATTTTATTCTAATTATACGAATTTACATGTGCTTCACAATTCAGGATTTCTAAACCGTGCTCACAAAGGTGTGCGTTAGCAAGAGCGACCCAGAAAAACAGGTACTGTGCGATTGAAACGCTTCTGTTGAATACTTTAATCAGGGAGAGAAGCAAGCTTGTTTCAAAGCTGTTTTGTGTATTCTGGGCATTGGTGCTACTGGGTAAGAACTGGGGATGAGTTTCAAGCTTTCTGGTGCTTGAGCAAATTGTGTGGTAGCTTTGCAGCGTGGAGGCAAGGACCAAAGTGTTCTGCACGATCCTGTGCCGAGTAATTGCCATCCCAGGGGAGCATAGCCCCCAGCTTTCAGTGTGAATTTTTGGGGACACTTAAATGTGCATGGAAATGCGTGTCTCTGGTTTGTAGCGAGCAGATGTATTTTAATTTGTTCCGAGCACAGGTTGGGTAAGTGGAGTGTGTTGCTGGTAACGTTTTAAAAGAGGAAAAGACAATTTTTTGCCTTTCCTCTGAGGGCATAAAGGCAGGATAAAGCAATTTTCATTTTTTTTTTCCCATACCTTACACATGCAGATTGTATCCATGAGATCTTTTGTAGAATGTACATTTACCTCTGAGGTTATTTCACCCAAAAAAATCCTTCATCTTCTGAATCCTCTGGTTCCTTTTCATCAGTAGAAGGCTCCTGCATTTCAGACATTGAAATGGATGAGGAGAATGTCAGTACTACAACATCAGGATATGTAGCATGGTCCAAGACTTGGACTTGTAAACCAACTTAAGCAAGCTTCCAGTGCATCAGTTGGTCCACGGCTGCCCTTCTTGAGGAAGATACACAGACCTAGAAGGACCTGGCAGTGGTCAAAGTGGGAACCCTGAGGTTGGGTAACTGATCTTAACTGCTCTGAGCCACTCCTGAGCTCAGCCAGGCTGCTCCTAACAGCAGCACTGTCTGCCCTGGCTTCCTCTGGATCCATCTCTACTGCTTTTCCCCTGCCTACACACTTCAATAGCACCAGGTTTGTGGCCTCTGTGACCACTCTGCTTTTATCTAAGCATTGCCAGTTTCTCCTTGTCAAATCCAGCTCAGAAAGAGGTAAGACGAGCTCTGCCTGCCTCTGAAGCACACATCTACTGCCCATCCTGGTTGGCATAACAGGGAACTCAGATGGCAGTTCCCTCCAGTGCTGTATTTTTAAGTGTTTTGTCTCCACCTAGCCCCTTAATACTTTTTTTCCTAAGATTCTGGGAATTCAATACCCTTGAGACCTTGATGAGTTGGTTGAAATGAACCAAATGACCCCAATACTCTGGGGGAGGAATTAGGGGAGCACGTGGGCTGGACACTAGCGTTGTTTCATTGTCACTTCCTTTAAGGGAGGCTGATGGACAGAATTTCCATGCCAGGTGAATTGCAAAGCAAATTGTAGTTGAGTTTGGCCAACCTGCTCAAAAGAAGCTGCAGCCCAGGACAGAGATGTTATCCTGTGGATTGCCTGCGGCTTTGACCTGGGATTAGCAGTGCAGCTGGCTAAGCAGGACCAGGCAGGCAGGGTTGAAAAGGTGAGTAGAAAATGAGGGTGAAATTCTAACTAGAGAGGTCTCTTCACACACAAAGTGCTTATTAACATACTTAGCTGGGTTTTTTTAATCCACTTCTGTTAGAGCTCAGTAATTTACTTGGGTTGAACAAGGAAAATCTTACTTGTTTTGATTTTCACTATGCCTGGTAAAGATTGCACTAAAACCCTTCCACCTCCATTTCGCAAGACTCGGTGAAAAAGAGGAATATAAACTAAAGCTTCGGGGTTTTCAATTTTTATTTTTTACATTTTGTGCCTAACAGTTCAAAGGAATTAGTAGAATTTTGAAAATTTCTCAGATGCCTGAATCTACCTTGCTATTCATTTTAACCAGTACCTTCCTTGGCTACTTAAAATCTGTAACTTTAACCTTTATTTGTTTGGTTCATTTGTTTGGTTTTTTCCTAGTAGTCTTTTGAGGACAGCAAGTCAACCTGCTGAGCTACATCATGAATGCTCTTCTACTACTCAAGGGAAAGTGGTTTTCATTATTGTATTTTTTTGCTTGAGTCCAGGACAGGTTGATAATTCATTAACCACTAAACATTTTGAGCCTGGATCAAAGTAAATGTGTCTGGCCATATTTAATGTCCATCCTCGACTGTTTTCTAGTAATTTTTAGTCTCTGTCTTCATCAGTGTCTTTAACAGGAAACAGAACACTTCAAGACTGGTATGTGCTTAGGCTCAGGTTCCTGCTGCAGTCAGCAAAGCCAGCGGTGTTACAGGGAGCATGGTAATGACAAGAACTCAGTGTTTTAGTCTTGACTGGGGGATAGGAAAGGAAATTAATTGAATTAATAGGTACTTGATTACTACATAGGTAAACATAGCCTGTCTTCACGATCATAACGTCTTATCTTTCAAATCTGTTACAGACCAATTGTATGATGTAAAAGATACTGCTGCTCTCTTCTCAATCTCTGTAAGTGGTGAAGGGATCATTTATTGTGTGCTTTATAGACTACATAGGATAAAATGTCACTTACACCTTCCTCCAGACAAAGGATGCTTCATTTCCACAAGTGACATCTTGTCATGAGTGAGCCCTGGTGGACTAAGTATGTGGTCGTAGTATTCCAACACACATATTAAGAGATGGAAAGGCAAAATTAGGAAAGGTAGCCCAAGTAGTGATCGATAGACAGGAGATAAGAACCAAAGGGTAGCTGGCTCTATGGTTTCTGGAGGCAGTTTGATCACTGACATCTCTATAGTTTATGTAATCCCAAAAGGCACAAGAAATTTACAGTTTATCTAAGAATTATTACAGTTATCAGCTTCATTTTTGCCCTTCCTTCTCCAGTACATCAGAGCATTTCTGCAGGGCTAGTGACAGTCTGTTAGGTTTTCTTTCTTCCTTCTGCAGTCCAGGAAAGGTATTAAGAGAGGCCTTACTGCCTCCAGGAACAGCAGCGACACAACTGCATGGATTGTTTGTTGTTCAAATGATTTGAAGTCATAAATTTGGTGGCTATGCTTTATTTGATTTAATTGCAAATTAATTAGTGTATTTACACAAGAGCTTAAGCGATGAGCAGTTAGTCTCCTAACAAATGTAACCACCCCTGTTAGCTAAATTTCAGTTGAACCTCTTTTTTTCAACCAAAATTAAGGCTGCAGCCTTAAACTAGCAGCTAAATCCCAGTCAGCAGCAATGGGCGATTCCTGCACCATTAAATACCAGCTAAAAACTTTGTCAGACGAGGAGGGAAGCCACAGAGATTCAGGAGGGTAGAAAACCGTGTTGCAGCTTGTGGATCTTATAGAAATTCCCCTTTATCTTTGATAAAGTCACCGTGAGTGTTAACCCTTTCCCACACCCCCTACTCAAGTAGTTTGAGATGTGGAGTCCAGTCAGGAGAAAACCCACTTTGTTTTATAAGCAAGTGGATCACCATCTCCAATTATTTTGGGGCAACTCTACACCGTGCTATACAACAAGTGAGAACGATGCCTTCAAGGGAGTTACAGGGGCTAAAATCTTGCATATTTTTGAGAAAAATACCCCCCTGCTTCTATTTAAATATGTTTGTATGCGCTTATAAATAAAATGCGGTTGCCCCT